AAACAAACAGTGCCCGTTTGAAAATATACAATATGTGAACATAATAGTTTAATAACAGTCATTGTAACAAACCAAAGTTCTGTTCGTGGGTTGTAAATGCACGAAACACGTGTGTAGTGCAATAGTAAATGCATGAACTAGTTTCCGTTTATTAGAAAATTACACGAACCGTGAGCCTGGTATATGAGGGAAACAAAACAAAAGGAGCAGTGAGATTCGAAATGCACGCACAGAATTGCCTAGTATCTTTATGCAATTGAAACAGAATGTGTTCCCGTTCGGGAGTATGCTAATGCTCGAAATGAGCCAGTGACAGATATAAACAAGTACGTTTAAACGAATGATATGCATGAACATTCAGTGGTTTAGAACAGACTTAGACAAAATGCAGCCGTAAAGTGAGGACCTGACCCATGCATGGTGCCGTGGGACTGATGCCTGGTGTAACAGGTAGGCCGACTTACGGTTTGTGAGTCACTTGGACACCATCCACGGCGATGGATTGAAGAAAGAAGGTGGTAGGCCGGAAAAGCCTGTGGCTGGATTCCTGACACAGCTCAGCTTAGAAAACCTCATGGAGTAATCAGGTAAAATGGCGTCTGGATGACCCGGAAGTGTAAATCATTCTGATGTTGACCTCAAGTGATTTGGAGTCAGGTAAGGGGTGTCCCTTATATAGGGGAGTGAATTAACTGTAGCCCCTCCCACAAATACAGGCCAAACGGCCTTAATACATATATATATACACGTATATATATATATATATTGATGCACAGCACGTGAAAAGGGTAATCCTATAAAATGTAGAATTTAGAAGGTGTATACACAATTAGGCAATGAAGAATCCTGCAGAATATACATAACACTTTGTATACACTGTTTTACTTCATTCAATATTTATCATATATTACTATTTTCACTTGACATGTTAAGCCCTATTTGATTACTTTTTAGAAATTAGTATTTAAAGTGGGTATGGGTTATTTATGGTCAGGGTGCAGGGGAACCAAAGCAGGAACAATTTCCCTCCATACCTTTGAGGAGGCTTGGAAATGAATCTAGCTTCTGACCCCAATCTTCTTATGCCACAACTACCCAATTGTCCAAAATATAAACATGTCTGATTTAGAAATATTGAGAAAACTGGCTTATGCTCATAAGGACCCTAATAAGTGTCAAACCATTCTCATCCGTTTGATTCCTCACAGGGGCGAGGGGATAGCACAAGAGACTAATGGCATCATAACTAATTCTTATGTCTGTAGCGTTTATCATGCTTAGAGCGCTTCTTTAATACCACTGCATGCAGTTCCTTTCTGAAAGCTAGATGCAAGTCTTGCAACTGAGAATAAATGGAATATCTTAAAACAAATATTAGGAAGGTACATTTCTCAATATGAACAGTTGGGTAATAAATATAAAATAAACACATTGAAACCAATGGGGCTTAGTGGGAAAGTTAACCAAGAGTTTAAAAATAAGAAAAGATCATTCAAAGCATTTAAATCGGCCAAACCAAAGGCATTCTATATAAGATATAAGAAGGTAAATAATGAATGCAAAAATAGGCAATTAGAGTCGCTGAACTAGGAATTAGAATGGCTAAACTAGAAAATGAGAAATGCATGTATTTGAAAACATTTTTCAGGTACATAAATTCTAAAACAAAACAAAAAATGAAAACAGAAAATAGGTGCTTATTGAAGCACAATCCAAGCACACACAATGATTATGATTGTCTCTTGTAATTTAAAAACCTATATTTCATAAAAAGGAAATATCATAGTGCAGTAATTATGAACAAAAATAGATCAAGGGCAAACTATCACCTGGGATCTCACCTCTATGCCCCCTTGATAATAACCCTGATTTACAGCATGGTTCGGATGGGGAAACTGCCAAATGCCTTCTAGGGAGTGATGTAGCTATGCTTAGCTCAGCATTGAAAAACAATATGATCCCTACCCTTGCAAAGCTTAGGGGTACTACTGCCCAAGTATCCTTGCTGGATACAATAAAATACTCCCAGTTGTCTCTATACCTCAGGAGGCCTATTTTGCCGACTTGGGAACAGCGGGAACTAACTCCCTTTGAAGTTTCCTGTACCAGTGGAAATAAAATGCAAAGACCCCTATAACATTGTTAAAAATCTCATCCAGAGAAACAACCCGGGGAACAACTCCCCCAGCTTCTGGGCGAAATGGTGCTCTATACTAAGAATACAGATTGCTGACAAGGATTGGGAATATATAATGGGACGAGTAATGAAATACTCCATCAGCATAGCTTGCAGGGAGACTGTCTATAAAAGTGTAACCATGTGGTACAGAACACCTTCCTTTTTACATGCATACTTCCCCAATGTGTGTGACAGGTGCTGGAGGTGTCAGAGGGAAGAAGACACTGTATACCACATTTGGTGGCAGTGCTCAAATATACACCCCTTCTGGGTACAAGTACTGGGGGCTATTAAATAAATATTTCCAGACATCCATAAAAATGACCACAACCAGGTACTGCTGGGGTGGCCCAATTCCACGAAAGTAATGAACAATCAAAAACTACTCTGGTTTTTGGTAGGAGAGGCAAATGCATTCATCTAAGTTATGTGGAAACAAATTGACCCACCCACACTGGCCCAATGGATAAACTGGGTTGAGGATGTAAGGAGCATGGAGGAATTACACTGGGCTACAAGAGGCCTTCACCAGAAATACTTGGGGATATGGCAACCGTGGGTGGCATACTGGGGAAAAAGTGAGGAAGGAGGAAGAGGAGCAAACCAGAGGTAGATATGGAGCAGGAGTACAAGGGTTATTGATTGGAAAATTGAGTTCAGGGAATCCCAACGGTATTAAAAAGCCCAAATTTATCAACTGAAACACCCACAAAATCCATCTGGAGCAAGCACTCTTTATTAGTCAACCAGCGGCCAGCACGATTAGGTTAGATTTTAGATTTTTGTTTTATTTTTTTCTGTTATAATATTGTTTATTTGTCTGTAATGCATTCATTATGTCACACCTTTCTGACTTCTGTACAGTACATCTATACTACTGAATGGTATTGCGTGGTAAATGTAGGTGACGAGGGTACCCATGTGGCAATGTTATGTATAGAGTACCCTACATAACGGAAAAATTCAGAACGAGACGTGTCTTTTTTGTGTACAATGATCAGTCATGATGTTAGTGCACAGCAATTTGTGTATATTTGTACCATTGTGACAACTATGTATCTTGAAATTACGTTAAATATGTATCTCACTCTGATTGTTTATTTTTTGACTATATGATAATGAATGTACAGTCGATGTTCATGATTTATTTTGATGTGCTCAATAAAAACAAATTAAACAAAAGAAATAGATCCAGGGGTGTTGGAAAAACTCACAATCTTTAGAGCCTATAAATTGGCTCTAAACTGTGGAGGCGTAAAAAAAAAAAAACTTGCAGTTACACCTTGCTTCAGGTAAGTAAAGATCCCAGAGAGAAACTTGCAGTTACACTTTGCTTCAGGTAAGTATAGGTTCGAGGAAAAAGCACACATTTTAAACAACTATTTTTATTAAGGAAGATCCTATTGTAAGAGATATGCAAATGATTTCTGCAAAACAAAACTTGCAGAAAAATTGTGACAGGATTACCCAAGACAAGCAACTAAAAAAAGTTAATGCAAACAAAGCTCCGAGGCCTGACGTTTTTTTAAGTAAGAAGAATAAGGATGTGGAATTCATGTCTGAGGAAGTGATTTTATCAGAGTCTGCACAGATGTTTAAACCACAACTGGATGCATACTTGCAAAAACATAATATTCAGCTATATAAATTTTAAATTGTGGGTAATAGATTCTTGATCCAAGGATAAATCTGACTGCCATTCTGGGGTCAAGAAGGATTTTTTTCCTAGTTTGCTAAAAAATTGGAAGCTTCAAACTAGGTTTATTTGCCCTCTTTTGGATTAACAGTAAAAAACTGAGAAAGGCTGAACTTGATGGACACATGTCTATTTTCAGCTAAGTAACTATGCAACTGTGGAAATATGTAACTATCAAAATGATTATTTATTTATTTTTTCGTTTTATACATTCACAGTGAGAATATCAGTGTGTCTGCAACAGACAGCATTCAATAGTAGCTGAAATACCAGGAGAATTTGCTGTGTCTGTGGTAGCCTATGAGGGATATTTGTAAAAAAAAAAAAAAATAGGTTTTTCGCGATTTTAGGCCTTTTTCTCCTGCTTTGCTGATTTGCAGCAAAGTATTCCGTGATGAGCTTATTCTCACACTTTATTTTCCTGTTATATTTTAGTCTTTTTTTGGTTTCACAAATTTGCTACCAATGAATAAAACAAAAAAAGGTACAAGAGCTTTATTTTTGAATACTGTCACAGTGGCAAGGAGCTTTCATAATCTTCCTATAGTCTAAGAAATAAAAAATCCATCATTTTGCAAATGCGTCTACTTTACTAGCTATATTACTATTATGTCATCAATGGTAAAATCATCAGCAAAAGAAAGGAGCAAAAGAAATGTCAGGGGAATAACAAGTGTCAGAAAGATAGATTTTTTTTTTTTACATTTCAGAAAAGGCAGACAAAAAGTAATCAATAGGTCAATAGGTGGAGTAATAGTGAATGCTACATTTTTAATGTGTCTGAAGAGAGAAAAAAATAGATTTTTAAACTGAAAGTTGTTTTAAATATTATTGCTGGCATAACAAATATTTTATAATTTAAGAAGTATATCTAAATAAAAATTCTAATGCCTTGATGCACTATAATGCCAATTTTTATTGAATCATGCATTAAACATGTAACACACATTTGCAAGAAATAAAATTAGTAGTTATTTATCCATTTAATTCTGCAACTAATTGAGCTATTGGGATACAGACATGGGCAACAGGAACTAAAAATCTGTGACTTTTTTTTTTTTTCAAGGGTATATATGAATGATCCATTTTCACCAAATGTATTTATGCTCCAAATATTCTGGGTAACTACAAATTGAGTAAGGAGCACAACCATAAATGTTTATACATAAATGTTTTTGTTTTTTTTGTGTATAAACATTTATGGTTGTGCTCCTTACTCAATTTGTAGTTACATGTATTTGTGCTTTTGGGGATAGAGCCTTATGTAAGTGAGCACCCTACAGCCTACTATCATAGAGTTCAATTTGGGGCTAGCTTGTATGTTAACATTGTAACATTGGAGTGTGCCTACCTTGTTTCATTTGTTACCAAATATTCTGGGTGTCATAATCAAACCATACCTGGGAGTTATACCAAAGATGACACACATTTTTTATTAATAAAGTTTTTATCCATGCCCCAAAAGTTTTAGTTCTTCATTTGGAAACATATTATTTTTCCTCATTGCCTGGGCATATGGGAAATAAATCTCTCCAGCCACTATGTTACTCAGTCTAGTCTTTTTTATCTTGCTTCAAATAACAAAGAGACTTGGGAGGTCAAACACATACTTTATGAGTCAAGGTTTCTACATGCTTTCTCAATTTGAAAATTATGTTCTATCACAACGAGAGATCCAAAATATACAGTAAATGTTTAGCACATCTTTGAATTTAGAACTCTTGTCAAAAGAATCCCTTTATGATTGTTTTACGAATTTTCACACAGGTATTAAAGTGGACAGTTGAGCCTTGGACCTCACACATTCCATACATACAGAAATGATTACTGGGAAGAGACAAGAGATAAAATAAGCATCACTAATTTCTTCTCAATGGTTCTAGAAATTGCAGAGTAGTTAGATGCCAAATTTTATTTAATGGTATAGTTAAATACACATTATTTACATTATGTAATGTGTACTTAAAATTCCTCTTTGAATAAAGATAGTTGGTAATTATATCATGTGAAAGCAATCTTTTCACGTATAAATAGCTATGGTGGATAAATATACATAATGGCATAAAACTACTGCATATAGAGAGATTTATATAAAGAGGGAATTATATAGAATAAAAATAAAACCATGAAAATATTCGCTAATATTTAGAAAAATTGATGATTTTTTTATTTTTATTATTTGTTTATGTATTAACATTTCCAATTAATAAAAGGACTAAGGCTTATAAAATATTCTGTTGACTATATTCTTTGGTTAGTGTGCTACAGTAAGTATTGAACTAATATAGTGAGTTTTTAGCATGTTGTAACATGCTACTGCTATGGTATTTGACATATTTATTATGTAAAAACAAAGTTTACTATAACAACGCTAAAGCAATAAACATGCTGATTTGCTATTTTCAAAGAGAGAGACAGATAAGTTTAGAGGCAAATATATAAGTAGATAGAGATAGACAGCAAGACAGACAAATGGATGGGCAGAGAGATTGACAGATAAACTACAGACACAGTAAAAATAATGTACTAAACTCAAATGTGGCTACATCTATATCCAGAACAATGAATTAAGGACCCAGTGATTAAAAGTGAAGGGCCACAGGCAACACAGTGTAGGGTGAAGAATCAAGTAGGTTTATTGTGGTATGCCACAGCAAGCACTCATTAAATCAAGCCAAAGTATACACACACACAGGTAGAAGCAGACACACACAGGTACAGACATTCTCACAGATAGGTGCAAACAGACAAAGTTACAGACAGTCACACACACTCAGTTACAGACAATCTCTCTCTCACACACACAGACACACAGACACACACACACACTGGCAGACTTTCACACACACACACACACAGTTACAGATAGTCTGTCTCACACACACAGAAACAGTTACAGAGTATATCGGTTTCACACACACACACACACACACACAGTTACAGATAGTCTGTCACACACACAGAAACAGTTACAGAGTATATCGGTTTCACACACACACACACACACACACACACTAGCAGACTTTCTCACACACACACACACAGTTACAGACAGTCTTTCTCTCTCACACACCACACACAGTTACAGACAGTCTCTCGCACACACACACAGTTACAGACAGCCTCACACACACACACACACAGAGTTACAGACAGTCTCTCTCTCTCACACACACACACAGATTTACAGACAGTCTCTCTCTAACACGCACACAGACACACATTTAGACAGTAACACACACACACACAGTAAGACAGTCTCTCTATCACACACAGTTACAGTCTCTCTCTCTCTCACGCACACAGTTACAGACATTCTCTCTCTCTCACACAAACAGTTACAGTCTCTCTCACAGACACAGTTACAGACACACACAAACACAATTACAGACAGTCTCACACACACACACAATCACAGGCAGTCTCTCTTACACAGACACATAGATACCTGTTTCCATTATGGGCTGGCTGGGGGAGCAGGGGTAATGCAGTCCCTGGAGTATAGGTGTTTTGGGAGCAGGAACTCTTACCTGTTTCCCCCATAATGTCCACAAGTTCTCAGGTAGCGGGTTCCAGCTGTGTGCAGCTCTGCCCCTACCGCTTATGTAGCTCCGCCCCTCCGTTAATTTAACTCTGCGCCTGCCTTATCAGCTCGTCTGGCCAATAAGAATGAAATTCTCCTCTCAAGTGCAGCGCAGCCACGCTACATAGCGCGACCACGACCTGATTTATAGGAAAGCTGTGTGCACTCCCTGACACCTCTCACGCAGGGAGTGTGTGAGCTGTGTCGGCCACATGGCGCCCCCTGCTGCCATGGTGCCCAATGCGACTGCACAGCTCGCACACCCCTAAGGCCGGCCCTGGGTGTGTCAATATCTGTCATCATGAGAGTATTGACAAGACTTGAAAATAGGGGGAGTTGTGGCATGTATATATAGTTACAAAATGAAAATATACTGTTCTGTTCTGAACGAGTGTTCCAGACTGGCTAACGTCAAATCTGTGCATATTCTTAGCACAGAAGTTCATTCCCAGGCTTCTGCAGCTCTGCCATCACTAGAGGAGATCTGGGGCCTGATGTGTCCTAGGAAAGGCATACTTGTGAAATAATTTGTCTCATTACTATGGAATGGTACCAGGGCACTCAGCATCAGAACCACTTAAGTAACAATTTTACAGTATTATTAATTACACAGTATTTTCACATTCGTTCTGAATTTGCCATTTGCTTTCACTGCACCACCATATATACCTTAATGTATGCATGTATATGTCAGTATATTAATATGTGTATTAACCATTTTTATAATTTTGTTTTCTGTGTCTTTAATTTTGCTGTTAGCAGTTATTAAAAACATACTATATGCTCAATATAGAATATATTGTATGCAACATATTTTGTAAAGTGTGTCTTACTTACAAGAATAAACCTTTATTCATATTCTGTACTAGTGGGCTGGCCTTAATAACTGCTTTCAGATGACATAAGTCTTATATTGAAAGTTTATTTTCTATAAGATTCTAGACTTGTCTTTTCTCCATGTATATTTGAAAAAGACAAGGCAGTTCTATGTGATGCATTTCAAGGAAGGAAATCATTTTCTTTTGAACGTTTTTGATACCTTTCCATAGCTTAGCAAAAAATAATGCTATGTAAGCCCTGTCATGATATGGAAACATTTACATATATCCATTTTTGGGAAATGATACAATGTGCTCTTTCATTAGAGAACAAATAATGTTATGATTTCAGTATATTTATAGGCATTTTAACAAGTAAAGGTCCTATTTGTTTGGGTGAAAATTTAAATTGCCATCATAAACAATCAAAAACTCTCTCTGTCTCCGTTTCATTTCATGCTAAATGTTTGTTTGTTTTTTAGCAGAGGCAGTGCAATCTTCATTCATGTTGTCTAATTATCGGTCATGGAAAATATTCATGGAAAAGATTTGGGCAAGCACAAATGGCAAGAAAACGCACAAGCCTATTTGTGTGCAATGCAATATTTCCATTTTTGCAATGCCAATTCTGAGTTGTCATGATCATTAGTTATATCTGTGTTAAAAAAAAATGAGAGAAGTTTGTTTTACAATAATTATTGTTTTGCAATTGTAATAATGATATACCAGCACTATTGAGATGGCCCATCATTCACCCTATACTCATTTTCATTGCTGCACAATTTTCACTTTTAAGGCAAAGTGATCCCAAACTTTGCTTAGTTGGTGCAATACAAGTGTACAAGATGCAGGAGGGTGTTCTCACTAGTTGGTGAATATACCAGACTCTCTCCAGACTCTCCTCTTGTAATTTTTTTGGTCCAATGATGGCAGAAACAGCAATATCATCAACACCACCAAAATCAGACAGTGAGGACACAATTTTAACATTCTAGTCTACCTCATCAGTAAAGTACCTCTAATAGCATCCACAGACTAAAAACTCTGCTTATCTTTCCTTGTTTCTTGGTAGCCACAAAATGCAGCAGGTATAACAAAGCAGCAGCAAACGTCTCCCACCTATAGTTGGGGTGGCAAGTGGCACTGACAGTAGCTAGACAAGATTATTTTTTTGTTTGTTTTTGTTTTTTGTTTGTTAGTTGTTGTTTTCTATTTTACTGAAACAAAAAGAAAATCTTGTTACAATAGTTTAAAAAAAAGACTTGCCAGTAATTTTAGTGGCAGTTACTAGGCACATGAGCAACTTAACCAGTCTTACACTAGGATCAACAATTTATCTACCGCTTAAATCTGTTCTATGTGGCACTGGCAGTAGCTAGGCAGGCACAGCAGTAACCTTAACTTAACCAATCTTACACTAAGATCAATGGCACAAGGTATCTCCCATTTCCACACAGGTGCAGCAAGAGTAAAAGCAGGCAATTCCTGTCTACTGGTCTATCTCCCTCATTAGCTGAAGTCTAAGTGTCTAAAGGAATTCTGTTCGAAAGTATAGGGTTTTTTTTTCACCTCTTGATTGAACAAGAGATACTACCCAGATTATTGAGTAGACCTCTTCTTGATTGCCCTTCCTTTATAAATATATATTAAAATACCAGCCTATTTTCCACCCTAGCCTCCTATTTAGGCACTAGGAACAGAACTATGAATCACTAATCAAACAAACATGCTTATCCACTTCATGAGTCGTTCATTCAGGGATACATTTTTATTTTGTAATGCTAATATTCTGATTTTTTTTTCAACTGACATTAGTATAACGGTAGTGAATTTGGGA